CCCTCTTTGTTTTCTTCATTTTTTCCCCTAAATTTCAAGTCTTGACAGACTTTTCCCCTATTTGTTTTTTTCCTTTTTTTCCCCCTAAATTTCAGGTCCTGACAGACTTTTCTCCTATTTGTTTTCTTCATTTTTTCCCCCTAAATTTCAAATCTTGTCAGACTTTTCCCCTCTTTGTTTTCTTCTTTTTTTCCCCCTAAATTTCAAGTCTTGACAGACTTTTTCCCTCTTTGTTTTCTTGCTTTTTTTCCTCCCTAAATTCCAGGTCCTGACAGACTTTTTTCCCTCTTTGTTTTCTTTTTTTTTCCCGCCTCTAAATTTCAACTCTTGACAGACTTCTCCCCTATTTGTTTTCTTCATTTTTCCCCCTAAATTTCAACTCTTGACACTTTTCCCCTCTTTGTTTTCTTCTATTTTTTTTCCCCTAAATTTCAAGTCTTGACAGACTTTTTCCCTCTTTGTTTTCTTCCTTTTTTTTCTCCCTAAATTTCAGGTCCTGACAGACTTTTCCCCTTTTTGTTTTCTTCTTTTTTTCCCCTAAATTCCAAGTCTTAACAAACTTTTCCCCTCTGTTTCCCTGGATTTTATTCCCAAACCTCAACTCCTGACAGACTTTTCCCCCTCTTTATTTCCTCGGGTTTTATTTAAGGTTTTATTTATTAAAGTTTTTATTTTAAGGTTTATTTATTTATTTAAGGTTTTATTCCTAGATTGCAAACCTTGACAGACTTTCCCCCTCTTTATTTCCTTGGGATTTTTTTTCCCCCCCTTCCATCAAGGCAGAGCAGCAAGAATGGGGCTGTTGGGAAGGGAAAGGTGCCTCTGGAAGCACCCAGAGCTGGTCTCTGAACCTTCTCAAACCTTGATTTAATCAGAGCCATTCCCAGGATAAAAAACATAACAGGTTGTTGTTGAGGAAGGAGAGAGCCCACAGTTAAAGTGACAGGCTCCCATATGGAGCAGATTTCCAGCCAAATTCCTCCTGAATTCTGCTCAAGTCAGAGGTGATCCCACGCTGAGCCACAAGTGCCTGAATTTTCCTGGACTTTATTCCGGCAGCAAAAACGCTGAATACCATTTTTATTATTATTTTTATTATTATTATCAATTATTTTTTTACAATATGAAATGTGAATTACAGATGTGTGGGTGTGTGTGTCTCACTGTGTGCATTCCCTCCTTTCACTCCCTCCATTTCCCTGTGGATTTTGTCCGTGGATTTCTGGAATAATGAACGTAGGGCCCCTGCTCTTTGTTTTTCCTCACCAAAACAGAGCTCTCGTGACTGAAGGATCGTCCGACCTTGTCATCTCTGCTTTCCACTGGCTCGTGCAGCCCCTGTGGATTCCAGCAGGAGCCTCTGGATGGGATGGATCCCAGGGAAATGGACTGACTTGATTTTGTTGCTGGCAGAACCGTGAGGTTCTCGCTTTGCTTTTCATTTTTTTCTTTTTTTTTTTTTTTTTTTTTTTTTCCTTATTTTTATTCCTTTTTTTGGGTAAAATTTTATTATTTTATTTTATTGATTTATTTTATTGATTAATTTTTATCGATTAATTAATTATTGATTATCTTTTATTGATTAATTTATTATTGATTTATTTTTATAGATTTTTTAAATTGATTATTGATTTATTTTTTATTTTTTTAAAATTTCTTTTTATTTATTTATTTTAAATTTTTATTTCTTTATTCATTTATTTCTAAATTTATTTTTTAGTGATTCATTTTTTATTGATTTATATTTTTATTGATTTTTTAAATTTATTTTTTATTTATTTTTTATTGATTTATTTTTATTTGTTTATTTTTTATTGATTTTTATTTATTGATTTTTATTTATTGATTTTTATTTATTTTTTTTATTTATTTTATTTTTATTATATTTTATAGTTATATTTTACATTTATTATATTATTTACTTTAATTATTATTTTGTTTTTATTTTTAAAATTTAATTTTATTCTATTTTATCTTTATATTAGTCATTAATTTTCATTATTATTTTTTAAATTTAATTTTATTTATTATATTATTCTATTTATTATATTACTCTATTTATTATTTTTCATTGTTATTTTATTTTTTATTATTTTTTTAAATTTAATTTTATTTTTTTCACCTCCTTGGGGTGCTCAGAGCTGTTTGTTTCTGGGTGTGGAATGCTGGATCTTGGAGAGGAGTGCAAGGATTCACTCTCCCATCCCCAAGTCAGTCTCTTCCCAAGTTTTTCCATCTGCTGTCCCCCTTATCCCATCTCCTTCATCACCTCCTCATCCTCACTCTCCATCTTTTCCCAGCTCCTCAGCCTCCCCAGGGATCTGAGGCTGGATGAAATCTCCAGGAAAACACTGATTTTACCCCATTTTGTGTGCCCAGTAATTCCTGCCTCATTTCTGCCTTCAGGACCCGGCCACTCTTTCATTTCACATCTTCCAGGAGCATCCTCTACCCTTCAATCTCTTTTCCTTGGAGCAAATTGATTCACCCTTCCAGGAGAACCCAAATCCCTCCCAAACCACTTGGCAGGAGGTGCTGGAGATCAGGGGCTGGATCCCTGTGGATGATTGTGAACTCAGCTCTGTCAGCTGGGAATTTCTGAGCAGTGAATTCCCTTTCAGCTGGGAATTTCTGAGCAGGGAATTCCCTTTTAGCTGGGAATTTCTGAGCAGGGAATTCCCTTTCAGCTGGGAATTTCTGAGCAGGGCTGGAGCTCCTGCATCATCCAAGTCCAGGAGATGATGGAGACTCCCAAATATTCCTGACTCAGAGGAAGGGGTAAAGCCATTTTGGATTGTTTTGTTCATGCTGAGGGTCAGGTGTTGCTTTTCCAGAAATTGCTGCGTTTCCCTTTGCGTTCTTTCCTCGGAATCGTTACAAGAAAAGAGCGGAAAATAGAATTTATTTTTTTAGGGATTTTAGATTTGATTTTTTTAGGGACAAATGGAGCACCTGGGTGGATTGTTCTGAAAGGTTTTACAATGTCTGGCTTTAAATTGTTTGGTTTTTTATTTTTTTTGGTGTTATTTCCTTAAAAAATGAATGTTCTGAATTTGATAATGTGTTTTTTTTGGGGGGGAAAAGTCTACACTGTTGCCTTTTAGAGCAGCTTCACCCTGGAGGCTTTGTGTCATACCCTATGAAAGGCTGAGGTTAAAAGCTGACAGTTGATTATTAAATAAATTTTGCTTTTTGTACCAAATTCCAGGGGGCTTTTACCTACCTTTGAGCAGTGGCAGGAGGAGTTTGGGGTGGAAATTTGAGCTGTGTTAGGAATAAAGGAATGGGATCGAGGGAAGAGGAATCCTGGAGGCAGGAATGGCATTGAAAGCTGAGCTTTGCACCAGGACCAGGCACTGTCTGGCTGTAAAATCCAGGATTTTGATAAAACAAACCCATTTTTTGGGCTAGGAGCAGCTATTTACACAATTTACCAAGCATAACCCCTGAAAAAAACCCCCAAACCAGCGTGTGACACCGAGCCTGAGCGTCCCAGATTAACCTCCACCACTGTAGATTAATGGATGCAAAGTTGAAAAGATTGATAAATTATTAACTTAACCACTCTGGCAACTTCTTTTTTTTTTTTTTTTAATTTATTTTTTTATTTTTTGTGGGTTGTGGTGCTTTGTTTTGTCTCAGTGCTGGCAGGTTCAGGCCTGCTCCCAGGCTGTGTCCGAGGAGACACCCGATTCCTGCAGCAGGAAAAAGCTGCCTGAGAACACAACCCTGGCTTGTCTGAGCAGAGATTGAAAATTATTTTGTTCTTAAAGGGAGTTTCTAAATGAAAATGCTGTTTTAAAAGTCGATTTCGAAGCTCTTGGATCCCCAGAGTGGCCAAGGTTGGAGAGTTAAGACTCCTCTTGGTTCTGTGAAATGAAGCTGCTCCTTCAAGCCTTGCTCAGTGGAGTGTGAGCGTTGTGTGAAGCCAGAATAATTTATTTTTTAGTTTGAAAAGGACCAAATTTAGCTTTCAAATGCATTTGGGGAGAGGAGTTGTTGACTTTTTTTAAAATATAATATTGGGAGATCTGCACTGAGAGGAACCTGGAGGAGCAGCACATGGAAGGGACCTTAAAAATCATCCAGTTTCCACCCAAAATGTGGGCAGGGACATTTTCCACCATCCCAGGGCGTTCCAAGCCCTGTCCAGCCTGGCTTTGGGCATTTCCAGGGATGGAAAACCCTGGAATTGGTACAGGACGAATCCCAAAACTTTCCTTTGGCTCCTGGCTGTTCCCAAACCGATTTGTTCAGGGAAAAATCCTTTTTAATTTATATATATATATAATAAATATATATATATTTAATTTTTTTTTTAATTATCCTTTTATTTCCCTGGTTTATTCTTCCTTTTTGGGAACAGGGAGAGATTTCTCCCTGCTGTTGAATGAAAGCCTCTCCATCAGGGGAATCCACCTCTCCATCATCACCCTCTCCTTTCTGCTGAAGGCATCTGAAACTTGATTTTGTTTTTCTTGTGTCTGATGCCATTAATTCAGACTCTGTGACCTTCCCCCTCACATCTCCAAATCCAGCAGGCCTGGACCGGGTTTCACGTGGCAGCCAGGCAGGTTTTAAACCTCACAAAGCCCCGGCTGCTTTCCCGCTGAGCTCATGTTCTGCGGCACTGGGATCTTTCCGAAGGCACCCACATCCCCCTCGCCTGTGCTGCTGGATTTTAGCAACTCTCTAAACACTCAGCCAGCTTTAGAAACTTTGTTTGAATCAAAGAAGATAGTCAGGGGTTGATTTATTTTATTTTTATTTTTTTTTTTGGGAAAGGCTTCGCTTGGGAATCCTCAATTCCAAAGTCAATCCTCAATTCTAAAGTCAATCCTCAATTCCAAAATAAAGGGAATAATCCTTCCTGGAGTGCAGCAGTTTATCCTGGGAATGTCAGAAAATCCTGGTTACACTGATTTATTCCTTGCTGCTCCTGAAGTCACCTCCTACTTTTTGTTTCCCACTTTTTATTTTTATTTTTATTTTCTTTTGAGGCTGTGTCGGTGTTGAATTGAGGGAAGCAGTGGAAATAAGGAAGCTGAATGATCAGTGCTTTGTTTGACATCGTTGGTAACTTAATACTCCTGGCTCAGGGGGAGGAATCCGTGCCTGGAGATTGGAGAAAGCTCAGATCCCAACAGGAGAATGTGCTTTGAGAAGGGCTTGGTTGAAAATTTGGGATGTCAGAAATCAGATCCCGGTAAGTCAAGAGCCAGAGCCTGTGTGTTCCTTGAAAGGGAAGGTATGTGAGGAGGTGTTAACTCACCCTGCTCTCACTGGAGCTGCTTTTTTAAACTCCTCTAAAGCTCCAGGGTCTCGGATTTAAACTGATTTTTGTCAGCTGCACCTTGCTCAGAATCCACCGGTTTTATCCCTTCGTGGTTTGTTTAGCCATAAAAAAATCATTTTAGACTCTGGCCTGCTTTGGAGCAAAAAATTCCCCAGAAAATAACCTGAAAACTGGGAAGAGGAGGCAAAACCAGCGTGTTTTGTACATGGAGAAAACCCAGAGCCCGAGTTTGGCAGGACTGAGGAAATATTCCCACTTGGTTTTAGCAAATCAGTGAAACTCTGAACCCTGCTTGGGTCACTGCTGGAACTAAAATCGAGACTTGAGCCTTGCCAGATGAAATTAAAGATCCCCTAAAATTGAGCTGATGAGCAATAGTGCCCCTAATGGATCCTTTTCATCCCCTATTTTGTGTTTGAGGGTTTGCCACAGCTTTGTTTTTCCTGTGAAATCAGGAAATTTGTTGACCCTGTGTTTAAACCAGGTGCCCATGCTGGTGCTAAAGTGAATTTTAGACATTTTGGGAGTAGTTTGGGGAGGAGAAGGGTGTGTTTGGCTCTTCTGGTGTGTCCCAGATGCTGCTCTCCCTGACCTGCATCATAATTCCTGCAGCTCCTGTGCTCCCAAGCTTTTTAAATGTCAGTTCTCTGGGAAAAAAAAAATCAGAATTTTTCCTCATTTCAGCAGGATTTCTTGAAAAATACTGAGGGGTAACAAAAGATTTGCTGGTTTCACCTGTTTAAATGTAGCAAGAAATGGGTTTGTGGGGTTTGTGCAGGGATTCTGGTGCTGCTGCTGCCTCTTCTCAACTCTGCATTTGGTTCTGGGGCTTTTTTCCCTGTCAGTTTTTCTTGGATAAGTGGGAATTGTGTGTGAGAAAAGTTTATAACACAACAAACGTGGTCTATGGAAAATGTGGGAATCAGATGATCTTTAATGGTCCCTTCCACCCCAAAATTCCACAATAACTGGCTGCTCAGAGTCTGAACCAGCATCTCTGTCTCGTTAGAGGCAAATATTGTGCTGATAAACGTTGAATTTGCTGTAATTTGTTTCTTTTTGGACTTTTATCTTTTTGCAGGGGCTTCCTGCTCAGTTTGGCTGAGATGTAACAGAGTTCTGCAGGTTCAGGAGATGCGTTAATGAGGTTTTTTTAAAGAGTTTTGGAATTTTTTTTAGCTTCTCAGTAGCCACTGAGCTCTTTAAATTGTCCTCTGTGGCTCTTGGTGCCTTCCAGAGTCACAGATTTCTCTGTAGCCACCCCAAATTCGGTGCCATTCTGGCATTTCAGGATATTCTGTGTTTCTCTTGCCAGTTTTCTCCAGACTTGGGAGGTGAAACCTGGGATAGCTGAACTCCACAATCCTCTTTAATAATCCAGATTTTATTTCCAGGGGCAGCTGGGAATCTGCTGCTGAGCATCCCAGCAAAAAGTAGACGGGGCTTTGATATTCTTTTACAAAAGTGCTTCAAACAGCAAAATAAACCCTGAAAGAGGGTGGAGAACATTCCCCTAATTCTCTCAGGAGATAGGGTGGATCAGAAGCAGGATCCACTTGGCTCAGGCCTGTCCTGTGGGTCCAAATTTCCCATTTTGGGTCTCCTGGAGCCTCCCAGGAGGCAGCAGGACTTTGCCACGTGCACATCTTTCTCTCAGGCGTCACAGAAACCCACATCAGCTGCTTTTTAGGTCATTACCAGACTGAACTAAATATAGCCTGTGAGCCAGAAGTGGGAGGTTTTGTATCCAAATTCCTGCCCCATCCCTATTTCTGGAGCATCTGTGCCCCACAGCCTCTGCTGGAATTCCCATTTCCTTTTAATCCCAGCGGGCAGGGACGAGGCTGAGCTTGGCTTGGGAAGTTCCTGGAATTGCAGGGAAGAGGAACAGGACATGGAGTTTCTTTATGGATGAAAGCTTTGAGTCCCATTTTGAGCTGCCAGTGTGGCCAAGAGGTGAATCCTGTCCCATTTTTTGTGGATGGATCAGCTCCATATCCCAAAAAAAACCCCCGTGGCTTGCTGAGCTCTGGTTGCTGCTGGAGATTTGTGTAGGTTTAGGGTGGGAACAGCTCGGGGTAAAGGGAGAAAACCACTTTTCTCATTACCCTTTAAATTTATCTCAAGTAAGGAATGTTCCCATTTTTACATTTTTTTTATTTTTTTTTTCCTTTCCAAGCCCCACATCTCTGCTAAAATTGTCAAATGGCAGAGATGAGTAAAGGGGAGGAAAATAAGTCACTGTGGCAGCACAAGGGAAAATTGCTGGGAGCAGTGTGCTGGTTCTGTAATTCCAAGCTGTCTTTATTTCAACTTCCTTGATTGTTGCAGGATCCTGCTTCTTTGCACACTGGTTAATTGGTTTTTTTTTCTTTTGTGGATTAGTAATATTGTCCTCCAGAAGGGTTTCAAGTGTGTCAAGGCTGCTTAATTCTGATTTATTAAAGAAGGCTGTGATAAATGTGTGTCTTTGAGAGCTTGGCTGGCTCTGCTGGAGGTCACCTGGAATTCAGAGCATCTGGCAGAGGTCGGCTCCAGGCTTTTTGTTCTGTGCTGGGGAAAATTCAGGGTTGGGGGGGGGGTTTTATCAGCTCCTCTCTGAAGGAGGAGACACTTCAAACTCGGTGACAAAATCCCACTTTTTCAGGCAGCTGCACCTGCTAACGACTAAACTGTTAATTAGTTTTTAGCGCGCTTGCAGTGGTGTTCTTTTGTCTCTTCTATAATGGTGATTCAAAGAGATGATGTCAAGGAATCTCCCGTTTCAGCTGAATTTAACTAATTATGAGAAAACTCTGCCTTCACTCCAAAGCTCCCCAAGACACCCTAAAAACTGGGAATTGCAGAATCCCAACACCACCATTTATCCTGGCGGTGTGGGGTGTATTCCAGGCCTGATCCCAAAGCTCAACTTCAATTTTCAATTGACTGCTGGTATTTTTTTCCCTTTTCTGCTGCACTGTAACAAACCCCAGGTAGAGTTATTCCTGCGGGGAGCCTCCGGGTGAGTTTTTCTTCCTGCAGCTCTCCGAAACACGAGGACGTCAATTTGGGGATGGCTGATTTATAAAACTCCCCTGGGCTCTGTCTTTTCTTCTCACACGAGTGCTGAGCCTCTCGTTAGGGAGTTGAGAGGGAAATGGGATAATTAATCCTGAGCAGATGTGCTAGAACAAGAGACAGGAGCAGGGGTTTGGATGAGCTGCTCCTGATTCCAGCGGATCCCTCTGGCCTGGTTTCCCTCTCTGAGTGGATTTCGTGCTTTTGGGAAGGGAAATTTAATTTAGATTTTGATTTTTTATTATTTTTTTATTATTATAATTATTATTATAATTATTATCGTTATTATTATCATTATCATCATTATTATCATTATTATTTTTATTATTATTTTTATTATTATTTTTATTATTATTATCATTATTATTATCAATATTATCATTATTATCATCATTATCATCATTATTATTATTCTCATTGTTATTATTCTCATTATTATTATCATTATCATTATTTGCATTATTATTATTCTCATTATCATTATTATCATTATCATTGTCATCATTATTATCATCATTATCAACATTATTATCATTATTATCATTGTTATCATTATTATCATCATTATCATTATCATTATCATCATCATCATTATCATCATTATTATCATCATTATCATCATTATTACCATCATTATTATCATTATTACCATTATTATCATTATTATCATTATCATAATTTTTATCATCATCATCATCATTATCATCATCATTATCACCATCATTATCACCATCATTATCATTATCATTATTATCATTATTATCATTATTATCATCATTATCATTATCATCATTTTTATCATTATCATCATTATTATAATCATCATTATTACCATCATTATCATTATAATCATCATTATTATCATTATCTATATAAAATTATTCTTTTAATATTCTTTTATTTCCAATATTATTTATTATTTTAAAATATTTTAAAATATTTTTAATATTTATTAAATATTATTTATTATTTTATTTCCAAGAGTTTCCAGCAGTGAGAGCACATTCCAAACTCCACCAGGGAAATACCCCAATCTTTCTCCAGCCCTCCCTCCTCTGCATTTTGGAGGAATCTGTGGAAGAATAATCCCATTTTTCCTTTCCTTTGCTTGTGGTGGTGCCACCTGAGCCAAATTGAATTTAAAGAACCCTTCCAGTGCCTTAAGGGGGCTTAAAAAAGGAGTTCTTTAATTAAATTCAAATTTTTTTTTAAAAAAAAAAATTAAATTTAATTTTATTAATTAAATTGAACTAATTAAAAAAGGAGGGAGAGGGATCTGGAAGGGAGGGAGAGGATGAGGAGGAATGGCCATAAACTGAGAGAGGGGAGTTTGAGATGGGAAATTGAGAGGGAATTCCTGAAGAAGCTGTGGCTGCCCCTGGATCCCTGGAATTATTCCAAACCAGGTTGGAGAGGCTTTGGAGCACCCAGGGATGGTGGGAGGTTCTTGGAATTATTCCAAACCAGGTTGGAGAGGCTTTGGAGCACCCAGGGATGGTGGGAGGTTCTTGTGGATGATTTTTAACAATCCCTCCCCACCCAAACCATTCCATGATTTTAATCCCTGCCTTCCTGGGGAAAAAGCTTCCCATAAAGAAATTCCCAGGGCTTGAGAAGAGCCTGGACCTTTTCCTTCTGCTGAACAAAGGAAAAATCTCCAAAATTTGGAAGCCATAAAAAAAAATAAAATTAAAAATTGATATTTTAATCAATATCAATTGATAAAAATTGATATTTTATCAATAAATAAATAAATATTATTATTTATATTTATCAATATAAATTGATAATGTATATCAATTTATACCTGCCTTCATCATCACAGTTATCCTGGGATTTGGGCTCTCCCAACTCCTGGCTCTGGTGTTTTCCCAGCTCTGCCTTCCCAAAAATTCCCAAATCCAAACAAAGCTCCCAAGCCTTTGTTGGCTCCTGATTTTCCACTGCTGGTGTTTGGGGATCATTGTTAATTCTGATTCTCTCTCCTGCCTTCCTCTGGAACAAAATTTATCTTTAAACCTTCAACTTGCAGGAAAATCCTGTGCAATTAATCCCTTGGGAAAAGCCCAAAACCCTTTGGAAGTGCTTGAAGTTTAAAATCACAATTTTTTTTGTGGGTGAGAGTTGTTCTTGGTGCAAAAGCTGATGGTGGGAGCTGGATGCAGGAGGAATTTCTGGGATTAAAGGAAGCACCAACCTGATTTCCTGAATTTCTGAGGTTGATAAATGAACTTTTTGCAGGTGGTTTTGGTGATGAAACCAACTTTTTGCAGTTGTTTTCGTGATTAATTTTAATCAGTCTTTTTAATTGACATTTTAAGCAGAATTGGCCAGGCTGGGTTGAGCTTGGAGCAGTGGAAGGTGTTTCTGCAGGTGAAACTGGATGGTTTGAAGGTTTCATTCCAACCCAAACCAGGCTGTGATCCCACTTTTCCAGAGTAAACACCTTGATGGGTGGGAATTACCTTGGGAATTGTGTGTTTGTGTTTTCTCAGGATTCATCCTTACAGTGAAATCCCAGCTGACCTGGCAGAAAGCAGAAATATTTATTTCTCTAATATTTATTATTTAGAATATATATTATATTATATTATATTATATTATATTATATTATATTATATTATATTATATTATATTATATTATATTATATTATATTTATTATATATATTATATATCTATTATATATATTATATATATCTATTATATATATTATATATATCTATTATATATACACTATATATATTCTATATTATATATATAATATATTTACTTATTTAGAAATATTTCTTATTCTAATAAATAGAATAAATTCTATTTATTAATAGAAATAAACCTTTAAAATTCTTTACATTTCAATAGAAAAATGATTAGAAAAATAATAATAGAAAATAATAATTAGAAAAATAATAATAGAAAAGAATATAATAATAGAAAATAATAATAATAAATTAAAAATAATAAAAATAATTTAATAGAAAATAATTTAATAGAAAATCATTAAGAATAGAAAATAAATCTTTAAATGCACTATTTCTATTCCTTTAAATGCCACAAAATTCAGGGACAAAGCAGCTCAGCTGTTGCCTCAGCCCTGAGGATGTTGGGTGTGTTTTTGGGATGCCACAGTGCCCCATTGGCCTCATTCCATTGGGAGGATGAAGAGGATAATTGATTTAATAACCCTGACAGTGGAATGTTGGATTGCTGGAGGAATTTTCTGTTCTAAACCCTGCAGGAAACTCCTGCACCTTTTCCTGTAGCGCTGCTGGTTTTTGGTGCGTGGGTTTGTGGTGGTTTTATGTTGGGGGTGACCTGAAAAGAAGGAAAATTGTATCAATTTCAGTTGTGTGGAAGCAGGGTGCTTTTAAATCACTTTTTAGGGGTTTTTTTTCTGCTTTGGGATATTGTGGTTGTTGTAACTTGGTTGGGTCTGTGATTCAGGATTGGGATTTGTGCTAAAATCCCAATGGAATTGTGTGTAAATCCTGCCTGAGCTGCTCCTTTAAAACACTTTAAACAAAAGCAAGTAGGGGGAAAGCAAATCTGATCCCTCTGGAAGTTCTGGCAGGGAGAGAAGGGAGCAAATCCCATCCTCCAGGGTTTGGGAGGGATCTTTAAAAGGCACCCTCAGGTCCCCAACTCCGAAATATTTCCGTGTAGGATCAGAAAACAACCCCACTGTGGAGATAATTCCGTTTTCCTTGGTGCTTGGGGAGCAGGAAAGGAAAAATCCCCCTGGATTCTGTTCCTGGCAGGCCATGGAGAGCTGATCACCCCCATGCCAAAGGAGCAGGATCCCAGCCAGGACCATAAATGGGTTT